TGGTCAACACATGGAGCCTGCATGAACTACGGACTAAACCATTCACCCAACTGCAAAGGATAGATCTGGCCTTGTAATAGTGGCGATAATCGTTTGCCAACCCACCTCCCTATACCTCTCTGGATCGGAGAATAATTCACCTTCTTCTGTCCTTAATTTCTGGTTTGGGTCCATGGGACTGTCTACCGGTCTACAATCAATAATGCCTGTTTCTTGTAATATATCAAGAGCATACTTCCTTTGGGAGATTACAACTCCATCTTTTGATTGCGCTACTTCAATGTAAGAATATTTTAGACTTCCAAGATCCTTGGTTGGAAATGTCTACACAAGTACTCTGTATTGGATATTCCACACATCATTTCCCTTTAATACCATACATCAACATCTACTTTTAAGTAAACAAACATTTCCCGAAGAAATACAATAAAAACTGACAGATCTGCTTCACTCTTGCGTTTTAGAGGGCCCACCTTTTGAACAATGGAGCTAAACTTTCCAAACAAAGCACGTGGGATTCTTGAGGCATATATAGATCGATGCAATTTGCATACCATACCAGACTCTCCCCCTGATCAACAAACCCAAGGAGGTTTCTCCATATACACTTCTGCCCTCAATATCACCATGTATGAAGGCATTCTGATATCCATTGATGAAGTTGCCAGTTACGAATGGGGCCCCTTTTTGCCATGGCAAAGAAGAGACGCATAGTAATCATCTTGGCTACAGAAGAACGTGTCAAATAATCAAGACCATAACCTGAGTTGTACCCTTTTGCCACAAGCAGACTTTGACCGTCACTTTTCACCAGCAGGGCCAACGTTAACTGCATACACCATCGACACCAACCGCCTTTTTCCTGTGTGAAGGGGCACCAGCTCCCAAGTATTACTGTGATCAAGGAGCCTGCAATTGCTTCTCAATCATAGCTTTGGCGCATCCAGGATGATCAAGTGCTTCTTTTCCCATTCGTGGGTATAACACCAGATGACACTGAGGAGACAAGAGAAAATAGAGGGGGCGCAATCGGTGATAGCTGTAGAAATTATAAATGGGATGAGGTTCCGTGATGGAACGAGGACCTTTCTGAGCAATATGCCATGCTGAATCATTTGCCCCATGAGGCGGGGACGAAGTGACGAGGGAGAAGAATCTGAAGTAGGAGATTCACCATTGTCTTGGGGAAGGTGGACTATCCATTGGGGCCCTGTGTGGGATGATCTCAGTATGTGGAGAAATAGGTGTAGAAGGATTGTGATCAAAGACTTGGAATGACAGAAACAGTGGAGCTATGTGACTCAGCCATTGGAATAGGAAGGAAGGCCTGTTTGGAGGATAGAAACAATCCTGAACAGATGAAGAGAAGTAAGGAGTCTGTTCAAAGAATGTGACATTGGCAACATGTAATACTTCTTAGTATTCAGAGAGTACACCGATATCCCTTTTTGAAGTCGAGAATAGCCTAAGAAGACACATTTGAGAGCGCGAGCGAGAGTTTGTCTAGACCTGGAGACATGTCATGAACAAACTACACAACGCCAAACACTTCGGGATATTATAAAAGAGGATCCTTAGGAAACAAAATGGAGAAAGGGACTTTATTATCAAGCAAGAGGGAGTAGGGCATCCCTATTAATAAGATAACATGCAGTTAGATGGCATTCCCCCAATGATGGACAGGAATATGGCACAAGCAAAAGGGTACGAGCAGTTTCAACCAAGTGTCCCCTATTTTTTCGTTCTGGCTATAACCATTTGCTGTGGTGGTATGAGGACAAGTAACTGATGTAAAAATATAACCATGGGAACTCAAGATGGCAGAAAAAGGGGATGAGAAATCCTCTTTTGCATTATCACTTCGAATATTTGATTACTGACCAAATTGATTCTGAATTTCATTCAAAAAGGATTAAACGATAGCTAACAATTCAGAACGATTTTTTCCATAAGATAAACCCCAAGTACTCTGAATATTCATCAATAAAGGTAACAAATATCTAAAACCAAAGGAGGATGATACGACTAGGTCCCCATATATCAGGATGGAATGATGGAAAAACTAGAATTACATATGATTGAGACCTTTTAGGAAAGGAAGATCTAACATGTTTTCCTAATTGACATGACTCACATTCTAAGGTTTGAGACCACTAAGTTCAGGACACTCTTTTTTAATTTGGACAATGGGATGGCCAGTCGATCATGTGTAGCACTTTAGGATTAGGAGGCAGCAACACAAGACACCCTTGGACGAGATCCAACATGGTATAATCCACCAGCTTCATATCCTTCCTCCAATCTGTCTCCCCGAACCACGCTCCTGATAACAAAAGATTTATGATCAAAAGGTTATTGAAACAATTTAACATTTTAGTCAATTGGGGCTTAAGGAAATTAAATTAAAGGACAATTAGGGACAAAGGACTGAGTGAGATTTAGGGAGGGAGACAAAGAAACATGACCGACTCCTTTGGAAGAAGTTTAGAATCCATTTGCAAGGGTTTGAACTGAGTTTTCTCGAAAGAAATAGAATGAGAACAAAGAGATTTCCCAGCAAATGTGATCAGAAGCAGCCTGAGTCAATTACCCATGAATTTTGACATTCCATAGATTGAGAAACGCAGCGCTTTGATGTATTGGGAGATTGAGATGGTTGTGCCAAGCTATTAGACTTTAACCTTACAATCTCCTGATATTCCATCCTCAAAACATAGAAGTGGAGCTTCAGTTTTCGAAGTGGAAGTTTCAGTCTTCGAAATATTGGCGGTTTTGGAAGGGAAACCATTGTACGGAGTGCAATTCTCTTTGAGTATGACCAATCCTTTTTTTACAATATGTGCATTGCAGTACGTCCCCGACCTCCTCGTCCTCCCTCCTCTAGTGCCACGTCCTCCTCTTCCTCGTGTGGCAACCATAACCAGATGGTTCCACCTAGTTCATTGGCTTCTTGGTTTGAGATATCGGGGACACATGCAAAGGCGAGTGGTCAATGTTTCCATAGAGGGGACCTCATGACTAGTTAGAAGTTGAATCTCTGAGATGATCAAAATCGGGATGTAGGGCACGAAGGATCAACACCATGTAAATTTTCTAGTTTCTTTTTGATATCCTCTAAGGATCTACTTCCCAAAAACATCCTAAGTTCTTCGACAGACAGATTGGGCTTCAGCCATGAAGGACACCATATCATGGTCTGTCATTTTAAGAGATGCCGCTTGTTTGTAGTGTCTCACATAATACGTTGAATATCGTTGGCATAATGCTTTGGGCTTCTTCCAAAGGAGTGACAATGTTTTAAAGCCCTCAAAGATACAGAAGTTTTGGGTTTCCACTCGATCCATAACAAGGCCACAACTGGAAATCTCTTGTTTCCATTGATCAGCTTTTTCAGTAGCACATGGCTTCCATCTTCTCAAGGGGTCATAATGCCTTGGCCAAGGAACCACATTTCAACGGCACAGACCCATAGAAATAGATAATTTTTTCCATTTAGCTCTCGGAGGTAATTGATGGACTTCCAGAGAAGAAAGGTACTACTGCCAGAAGCGCCATTCTGAAGAAGACGAATAGTACTAAATAAGCGAGAGACAAAAAAACCTTAAAAGGGAATTTAGACAAAGGAAACGTGACAGTGATGGACGACGGGGCCGACAACTGCGGGCGGTGGCCGGCGGCGACGGTGGCCGAACGGTGGCCGGCGACGGACGACTGGTGGCCCTGACGGTTGAACGGTGGCCGGCGGCGGGCAGCGGCGGGCAACGACGGCAGCGGCGGACAGTGCTGCGAGAGCGACTGATAAAAAAAAAAAAGACCAAATGGACGAAGATATATATTACGAAACAGAAACCAGAGCGGGATCAACCCGCTCTGATACCATCTTAAAATGAAACTGTAAAATAATTCATAATTCTAGAGGCTTGATTGATCCCTCTCACAATCTTCTATATTATAAAAAAAATACATGATAAATAGGGTAACCCTAGACACAATATAATCATGATAATAGGGTAATCCTAGACACAATATAATCATGATAAATAGGGTAACCCTTGCACCTACTATATGATGATAAAATAGGATAACTATCTAACACACACATTGACCTATAATTACTATGGCAAAAAACCCATTCTTGTCCTTATGGTTTGGGATACCATGAATGTGGATGCATAAAAAGATGGCATGCTTTCCCAGTCTTTCTTCATACGAAAGTAATTGCTCTTAATAATTGTGCGACTTAGGTTTCAAAACATAGTGTTAACTTGCTGGAAGTTTTGACTTGGAAATTGATTTGCATATTAGGAATAATTTGAGGTGTATCAATGTATCTCAATTTGTCATGTGATTGGAAGGACCTTTGCTTAAGTTTTCTTTTGTTGTCTGGTTGTAGCTGTTTGATCTCTGCTTGATTTTTAATGGACATTGAATACAATTACAATGGTATAATGAGACTAAACGTAGACAATGTACTAAGGCAAAATGGTGTGAAGGTTCACTGCCTCATGTTATGGTTTTTACAATGATTGATGGGTATTTGTTTGTGAAAATCTGGGTGTGCTTACCCTGTTGGATGGTGTATTAATGGTGTTTAGAATTTCATCTTGCCCCAGACGAAGCTCGAAGCTTGAAAGTGAACAGGGATGTATGCTCTGTAGAAGTGCAAAAAGGAGGTATCTTTCTTTTTGTGAACTGTTGGTTGTCATTTCATTAATATAAATGGTTTCTTAATTTTATGCTCTATAATATGTAGGGAGAATGCGGTCACTCCTCAATTTAGAAAAGAGGGAACGACCTCTTAATTACGAAGGACCTAGACAAGGGATTTCTCACGGACGGATATCATCAGTTCATGTGCTTCCTTTCAGTGGGGTATTATACCAATTCTATTGTTTGCTATAATTATTTATAGCCTTTTTATTTCTATTTTATGTTACTTATGATGATGATTCATAGCTTTGGTCTTAAAGAACACTTAAAAAAATACTGGTATAATCAATCCATTTCTTTGTTTTGTAAGAATGCGCTGAAGTTTCTTTTATCTGGGAGAGGGCAATCAAGTTTCAGAGAATAAGTGGGCCACTCTATACATACTCATTTTATATCTGCACCCTTTCTATTATAAGGGCAAGTGGGACCTGTGATCATTTTCTTGTGACATATGGTTGTGGAAAGTACTGCCGTAATATGATGGGAGTTAATTACAAATGAAATATACAAATAAGAACCACTAGGATTTCAGGTCCTCACAAAAAAGAGATTGTGCAAATCTCAGACTGCAACCAAAGATTACTGAAAGGAAGAAAACAAAAGCACTTTGATGTCCTTGACCCTCACTTTTACTTTGCCTCTATTACTACTTTTTTCCCTACCATTCTAATTTTCCACACCTTATATATCCCCTCTCTTCCTTCTCAGTTCATCATTTCTCTCTGCCCCCACAACTAACTTCACAATTCACCGCATCTCTTTTTCCCCTTGATCTCTCAACGGTATCACTCTCTTAGCCTCCCTTTTCTTCCTGCTTTCATATACGTACCACTCTTGTCTATGTTTCTATTCATATTCTTTCTAGTATAGAACATTGTTCAAAATCTAGACATGTTAAGATGTGCATTTTTGTCCTTATCTCCATGATATATTTAATTGTTGCTGGTATTGCATGTTTGCAATTTTGGCAACACGTCAAATCTTTTGTAGAAACATTAGGCTGTAGTTCAAAGTTTAACAGTCAATGTAATTGAGAGAAAGCTGCATAATTGGCGAATTGCATCCACATAAAGTATACATTAAGGAACTACATACTGTTTGACACACCCGTTCTAACATTCTTTTTTATTGACTAAAATTTATCGAACACTACAATATCACAAGTGGGTCTCTTTAATACGAAATTGGGAACCCATAAAATGTGTAATCTAATAAATTCGACCAATAGTGAAGAGTCTGTTCAAAAGCGTTTGCGGCTAGCATTTCTCTAAAATTTAAAACCCATAGTTTAATAATCTTAGTCTCAGATGCTTTGGTCTCAACTGCATACTGCTTTGCCTGGCTTTAAGAAAGTAGCATATCCACTAGGTGTCATGTTACCTGATACATACCTTGCGACATTCCTCATCTCAAACTTGATGTGACCACATCAGCCACTTATGATGACTGATTATGGGTCCCATCAAAAGGATATGTATTGAAAAATAATTTACTCGTGCTGTTGCACACATTTCTATCAGCAAAATGTTCACAACATCTTAACGAGTGAAGACATTCGTGTTAAACTTGATAGTCCATGGATTTTGAACCAACATAGGGGGTGTTTCTTGTATAGTTTTTTCTGCAACAATCTTTCCTAGAAATCATGTTTTTTTGGGAATGTTATAAATATGTCTGGAATGTCTAAACATGTTACTGGAATTGAAATATATAATTTTACTAGGAAACATAGTTAAAATGCTATTCTTGGGAATGCTAGATTCTTGAGAATGGTTCTTAAAATTGTCATGCCAAACATGAGAATTTAACATGGATAACCTAAAATTCTTGAAAAACTTGAAAGAATTTTCCTACTGAATGCTTCCTTAATGGTTGATTTAATTGTATTGAGGAGGCCGTTGTTTGCTTTGTCTTGTGTCCTTTTCTCTGTTTTCTTTTTACTTGGTGGATGTAATTTCCTTATTCCTCAAAGTTAAACAGAGAGCACATTCTACTGAGAAGGCTACGGTTTCTGCTACCGATGAAGATTCCATTGCTGATGTGATGGAACAACATGATGAATTTCTCAGTTCAATGATGGCTCGTTCAGCTAAGTTACAGGTATTGATGGTTTAATTATGATTTCATAAATATTTTTCAGGGTTCTTTGAATTTATTTGGATTTGTCTTACTGCTATATGTTATATGATAATGAGCCAGAGTCTTTGAATGTTGAGTGTCAACTGGCCAGGGAACTTGATGTGCTTCAGCATTCTTTTTCTTCTCTCAGATTAGAGAAAAAAAAGGATCAAGAGGAGAGAATTTCATATGATCATTACATGTCATAGGGATTTAGGTAGGGGAGGAGAAAAAGAGAAAACAAACTCCTTATTATGGAATATAATATTCATATTTGGTGTTTATTGATGTGTTGCAAAAGACAACTGTAATCCTTATTTATACTAATATTACTCTGGTAAGCCTAATTTGAGGAAGTGGATCATGATATATTATGAAATATTGAAGTGTGAAAACACTCCTAAGAGATTGATCATTCCAGATATTTTGAGATTTTCTAGATAATTGATCTCTCACTATACCATCCTATAGAGTTTGGCAATGCTTGATCATAACTTTTATATTAAAAGAAGAAACCGGCTTAGAAAGCTATTAACCAGAAGCTAAGACCATTTTATTAGCAAATATTTATCTCAGAAAGTTCTATCGTTGCTCTATAGTTGTTTACATGTGGAACCAGAACCACTACAACTAACTGAACCATTCTGAAGTTTGAACTGAGTTTCTTTTTTTTCCTGGGCGAATTGAATCATACCAATTTGTAGAATTCACAGCCTGACGCAGAGAAATTTTCCAAATCAAGAGAACGAGAAATTGGGTTTTGTATGAAAAGATAAATTCCCTTCAATAAACATTTAGGATTTTTATAGACTTGAATAGAGTTTTGGTAACTGACCCATACCTACATGCAATTATACATTTGCTGAACTTCGAAAGCATTATTTTGCAGATGGTCTTCAGATGTTGGGAAAGGAATGATGTTAACGAGGTCATTGGCATAATGACAAAGATGGATGATCATGCTGTGAGCAGAGTTTTTTTTGTCGTTATTGCATACTATCATTAAATTTTGTCCTTACCGTGGTATTGTTAATATGTTGTCATAATTCTTATATAAATAGTTTTTATTCCAGGTGATTGCGGATGTTGTTAGCATTATATTGGAAAAAATTGATATCATTACACTTGATATATGCACTGGTCTTCTACCACTTCTAACTGACCTTCTACAAAGTGAAATGGAAAGGTGAGTGATATCTCTTCTGATGCAAGGCAGAATTTTAAATGCTTTGTGCTGGACAAATGCATTATAGAGGACATAAAATATTGTTGAAAGTAAGATAAAGTGATAGTTACATGGTTTATGAAATGTTCCTTTCATGTGTTCAGTGTCATCCGCACTAGTATAACAGTTGGTATAAGAACCAGATTTCTGTGGGAATGAGGGGAACAACTATTTTTTGATAAAGCAGGTGGTTAGAATAATCCAATGTGGGTAACTAGAGCCTTGATTTACCTTATTTGAATTTTATTGGATAACATTTTTTATCCACACGAGTACTAACTGGTGTGGAAGGTACTCCCCGACAGCAAGAATGAGGAGGCCATTTTTTTGGGGATTTAAGGGAGAGGAGTGGATCATAAATTAAATGGATTAATTTTGCTTGACAATTTATTAAATATATTTTCTCTCAATTTTGTGTATTGAACGAACTTTTAGGTTCTTTTAGCAGTACTATGCAGTAACTTTAAATGTTAACTTTTTTTATTCTGTGGAGAGAAAAAATTATCCAAGGAGAAAAGTCACGGGGAGCCATGGAGTGACAGTGATAATTACTTTGTTAAACTAAGATAACTTTTTATTGGTCTTTGTTTTCACTGTTTCCAATGCAACTTTTGAAAATAGGAAACAAAATGATATTTTGTAACTAAAGTTTATAGATGTTTTCTCAAACCAAACGTTCCCTTAGTTCTGTGATATGTTACAATTATATTCTCAAGCAAGGACAAGTTTCTTCTCAATGTTTGTTTCAGAAGACAATTGATGAGTGCCATACATGACAGTCTGAGGTTCTATTTATTCACTTCTCTTGCAAGCACCCTAGTTTTTTCAGGAATCTCTTTGGGAAACTGAATTCCTTCTATTATTTGAAGGAATCAATCTCTAAGTGTAAGAACAAAGATCTGCTGGATTTTGATAGTTACGGATTCATCTGGTCCTTGTACATTACAAACAAATACGTAATTCAACAATACCAATAAAAGAAGTTAATTTTAATTAACAATGTCATAAATTTAAATTTTATTCTATTAATACCTATAAAATTAAATGGTTTAAATAGTAGTTATATTTAATGAAATCAGTAATGTAATAATTTTTTCAACCGTGAGTATGATTTGTAATTGTTATTAATCCAATAACTCATCTACTCATGGGGAATGAGTGGTGGTTTCATTAATAGACTTCATAATAAATTAATACATTTGAAAGGGGTCTTATGTTTCTTATAATCATGACAAAATGTTTCGAATTTCTTTCTTGTATAAAGAATTAGTAGTATTTCTTTCAAGGATCCTGTCTATCGTCTTTTTCTTTGGATAGATTAATTAGTAGATCTTTTATCCTTGTAGTTTTGTTAAATTTATATGAAATCCCAATAATTTGAAAGATTTTAACGGAATCCCCTGTACTTCTAAAAAAACCTTTTTTTATTAAAAATTTTAATTTTGCCAAATTATAAAGACTCAGATAGCTGATGGTATTTTATTTGACACTCACAACACAAGTTGATGAAACACTAATGTGTATTCTTGCATGTATGTATAACTTAATGAAAGTTAATAGCTGCCAGCAAGTACGACCAGTTTAAAAATTAATAGTGTTAAAACTTTGAAAGTTCAGTAAACTATAAAAACCCACAAAATAAGTTAACCTTTATGAGGGGGATTGGGGAACTACAAGCTCCTGTCAGATGGTGCTTCAAATTTGAGCTGGTTTCAAGTGAGCTACAAACTCTTTGGCTCTTTATTGCATGTTTTATGACTAACCATCAATAATATGGGATAATTTATCTAATAAATTCTACAAGTAATCATTTATAATGTGTCTTAGGCATTCGTGTTAGATCAGCTGTCAAGGTCTACTTGACCATATACCCTAAATATTTTCCAGTTACAAAATCTTCATCAATGTTGTGATTGTATCCTTAGAGAATATAGAAGATGGGTAATTTTGATGTTTTTACATTTTTAAATTATAATTTCATAGATTTCGTTGTGCTGACAAATTTGATATTCATATGTATGTAGACATCAGGGAATATCCTTGGAAATGCTATTGAAACTGGTCAGAATATTTGGCTCGGTAATCTATTCAACTGTATCAGCTCCACTACCTGTTGGTGTCGATATTGAGGCAGAGAAAAGGTTTTGTTGATTCCTCAGGTTTTTATATATATAATAGTATGTACAAACACATATATATACTCATTCATTTTATGCTGCGTGTTAATGATTGTCAGGCTAGAACGTTGCAACCTATGCTTCCCAGAACTTGAAAAAGTCAAACGTTTTTTACCTTCTCTTTCAAGGTATCAGTTCGACTTTATTTTTTGGCTTGTATGGAAAAAAAAATGTCCATTTATTTAAGCCCAATTTGGCAATGCTAGTTTGGCTTGAACTCTTAAGGCAACATAGAAACATTAATATTTGAAAACTCAAAGCAAACTGATGTTTAGCGAGCCGATTTATTAATGTGGTGATTTAGAATATCTTGTGCTAATTACATTGCTTGTTGTCTCTTTTCCTGTAGAAGAGGAGGATCAATTGCAAAATCTGCACACGAGTTGAATCTGGCTTTACAGGATGTTTCATGATCCTGTCCTGGCTCAATGATTTCTGTTGCTCATGTTTTGCCGGTGCTTTTGGGGGTTTTGTGCATTTTAAAGATTTAAACCTCTAAACAAGCCACCGAATAGTTTGATGCGTTGTCCTCGGGCGTCGAAAGAAGCTTTTTCATGTATGTACATTTATTGCCGGTAAAAGTTAATGGAAATTGATTAGTGGAGGCACTGATAACTGCTAATTCTGCGACATATACTCGAAGCTAAAGCTTGAGAGATGTCACCCTCTGCTGATGGTTGCACAGCTGACTTTAACCAGTCGTCATCTGCTTCATGCGAAGGTCTAAGTAGTCCATTCCACAACTAACCCAATATGTGGCGCAAGATACTTACCGCCTGTCTAATCTCATTTCGAAATTTCATGATTTTTGTTATGGTTCTTTAAGTGCCGTTATGCATAGCGAGTGGCGCCGTTCATATTTCTATTTGTTGCATATTCTTGTATGATTTTCTTTCAATGATTTTGCTTGAATATGACAATGGTTTATGCTCTATGAGATCATAGTCATTCAAAATGATCAGGTATATTCATGGACTATATGATTCCCATATTTTAGGCTATTTAAAAACGGACTCAGTCTAAACTTGTACAGACTAATCTTTGAAGACACTTGGAGTTTGATTCCACAATAGAAAATGCGTTAAGAGTTTGCATCACTTGGAATTTTTAATGTTGAGTAAAGTTGGGAGTTCTTTTATTTTCATGCATGGGGAGTATATGTCGAAAAAGAATTTGGATAGAACAGACAGATATCCAGAGGAAGGTGGATACTACGCAATGAAATTCTTGGAGAAAAGTTTTCAAGCCAAAAGTGAAATGCTCGTTTAAGTAAAATTATTTATTGGTAGATCATTGAAAAATGTTCATTTTAAATATAACTTAATTTTAAATCTGGGAGCAAAATTTTGTCTCGCAGTTAAGTTGCGTAATCTTACTTTTTGAAGAATAGAATATACCTGAGAAAGTTTAACTAATATAAGAGAATGCATGACATTCCTCTGTCAAATTATGTCAAACTGTCTCTTGCAGTGTACCATACCATCATTCTTTCGCGCATACTATGTCAAATACAACCAGACCATGCTTCCGCTTTTTAGTAATGAAATTACAGATGAGTTAAAGAGCAATGCCATTTTCCACTTGTGCAATACCTCCTCTAACAGGCACAGCCTGAGTAGGTTAAACTCACCCTAAATTGGGACTGAATGACAAGAATACCAAATACAAATAATGACCCTAAAGTTAAACTCACCCAAAAAGTTTACCTTTCCGTATGCACATATCTTACAACCCATTTTGAACCAAACTGAGTGTAGTCAACTGCAAGGAGTTCCAGTTTAAATCTTGAAATATTTGTAACCATATTCAGGGCTTGTCATCCCCTCTTCCCAATCACCCATGTGGCGACCACCAAAAACAATTTGTTGGATTCCAAGATATCTGACATTCAGAAAAAAGGTTAATCACAGTAGCTTTTATAAAACAACTAACAAGACAAACACATTTGTAATACATGTATCCTCACTTTAGTCACAACAAGTTTAGTATTCAAACTTACTCCGAGCTCAAGCCAGTTAGACAGTTGAGAAGCACATCAATTGCAAAATAATCAGATGTCCCCAAGTCCACCCTGTAAGATATATGTATAAAGCTTAAATATGTTTTGTGCCAACAGAAATCTTGATTAAATCACATATTTTACAGTTATATAATTATATAATTACATAAAACACATTACATGTGAATGAACTAATGTAAAGTGTCATTCATATAAGAAGATTTTTACTCCAATTGTTTGGTACTTTATTCCTTCATCTCAATTATAATGTAATTAACTCCATTTTTCATGTATTTTAGAATTTTAAATTCATAACTTTGAATGTTTCCTTTATCTCCCTTTCTTCTAGTTTGTGTCTTGTCAAACATGTAATCCAAATCACTCCTAGGAAAAATTAAGCAAACAGTAATTTATGTATTGTCTGAGTTACTAAAATATGACTTCTTCTTTTGATTCATTTGATGAGAGGCATTTTATTTTACGATACTGGTTTTGTTTGAGTATTTTTTTAAAGTTTTTAGTTTGAGTTGATCAATACACATTAACTTCAAAGTTTCACTTCTTTATATTTTTGGGGATTTTTTAATGTGCTCTCTGTGCATTTAAATAATTCTGTTTACGACTTTAAGTTTTTAGATACTATAATAAGCTGCGTGTGATTAAAGAGACTTTGCCAACATTTCAATATATACTTAGATGAGTTCCTTATTTCATTTTTAAAGAGCTGAGTTCTAGCGTTAATACCAAACACGACCCCAGTTGTCCTGGAACTCAATATCACTGATATCATGGAAAGATGATGGCATAACTTTGAAACCCTTATGTGCATCATATAGCGGATCAAACTCCATTGATGAATTTGCCATCTGTCATCAATTCAAGATAATTCAGTTCTTGTTAGAATGTAAAGGAACAAGTAGGAAGCTAGATATAGAAGACAGTGCCATGACTCAGCTCATGCAGGCATATCATTGCCATAGCCTCTTGAACTAAGCTAAAATTGACGAGTTCCAAACAACAAAATCATATTAATTGTCCTTGTTTGTGTATAAATTAAAAGTGCTTCTTTCATTAGGGATATAAGAAAGTCGATATAAAAATAATTTACTAAAAAGTTAGTAATATACTTTCTAATACTCTTTGAAACGTATTCATTACTATTAGATGAATTTTTTGTTGAAACTGAGACTTACTCCGCCAATAGTAATGAGTCTCATTGGTGATTTCTTAGTTTCCTATATATTTCAACAAATAAACGAGTGTGAAAGGAACTAATCACTAATAATCTTCAGTATTTATTCCTAACTGTTTTGTATACAGACAGAAAATTATCCCTATAACATATTGTATACGAAGAGATATTATTGGCAATAGAGATTCAATTCAGGGATTAAGGGTTTCAAATTTTGGGAGTTCGGGATTTCAGTGTTTCGGGGTTTCTAAGTTCCAAGATTTCAGGATTTCAAGATTTTAGGGTTTCAGGGTTTCGGGATTTAGGATTTTGGGGTTTCGAAGTTTTGGGGATTCAAGGATTCGATGTTTCAAGATAACGGGGATTCGGGGTTTCAAGGTTTCAGAGTTTTAGGGTTTCTGGATTTCGAGATTTTGGAGTTTTCGAGTTTCAAGGTTTCAAGGTTTGAGGATTTTATGGTTTAAGGGTTTTACGTTTCAGATTAAGGGTTTAGGATTTTATGGATTTAGGGTTTCGAGGGTTTCAGTGGTTCAAGGTTTTAGGGTTTTTCGTTTAGGGTTAATGGTTTAAGGTTTTGGGTATTTAGGGTTTCAGAATTTCAAATTTTAATGGTTTTAGGGTTCCAGGTTTTCAGGGTTTTACCTTTAGGGTATAGGTTTTAGAAATTCAGGGTTTCAAAATTTCAGAGTTTCAATGATTCAGAGTTTCAAGATTTCAGGGTTTTGAGGTTTCAGGGATTCAAGGTTCTAGGATTTCAGGGTTTTAAGTTTAGGGTTTAGGGGATTTAGGGTTTCGAGATTTCGGAAATTCAGGGTTTCAGGGTTTATGGGTTTCGAGATTTCAAAGTTTTGAGGTTTAAAGGTTTTAGGGTTTCGAGATTTCAGGGTTTCGAAGTTTCAGGGTTTTGGGGTTAAGGGGGTTTCAAGGTTTCAGGGTTTTCTGTTTAGGATAAATGGTTTAAGGATTTAGGTATTTAGGGTTTCAAGGTTTCAAATTTTAATGGTTTTAAGGTTCCATGTTTTTAGAGTTTTACGTTTAGGGTATAGGTTTTAGAGATTCAGGGTATCAAAATTTCAGAGTTTTAATGTTTCAGAGTTTTAATGTTTCAGAGTTTCGAGATTTCAGGGTTTTGAGGTTACGAGGATTCAAGATTTCAGGATTTCAAGGTTTCAGGTTTTAAGTTTAGGGTTTAGGGGATTCAGGGTCTCGAGATTTCGGGAATTCAGGATTTTAGGGTCTATGGGTTTCGAGGTTTCAAAGTTTAGGGTTTCGAGATTTTAGGGTTTTGAAGTTTCAGGATTTCTGAGATTCGAGGTTTCAAGGTTTCAAAGTTTCTTGATTTTGCAGTTCCAAAGTTTTAGAGTTTTCCGATTTCATGATTTAAGGGTTTCAGGGTTCTACGTTTTGGGTTAAGGGTTTAAGGTTTCAAGGTTTAAGGACTTAAGAGTTTTGGTGTTTCAGCGTTTCAGTGTTTCCAAGTGTCCAAGTTCCACGATTTCATGGTTTCAAGGTTTCGAGGCATCGAGTCTTGGGGTTCCATGGTTTTAGGGTTTTGAGATTTCAGGATTTCAGAGTTTTGGGGTTTAAGGGTTTTGCGTACAGGGTTAAGATTTTAGAGGATTTAGGGTTTCGAGGTATCGGGGTTTCAAGGTTTCAGAGTGTCAGTGTTTTGGGATTTTGGGGTTTCAAGTTTTCAAAATTTTGTGTTTAGGGTTAAGGGTTAAGGATTTCAGAGTCCAGTGTTTCGAGATTTCGAAATTTTAGGATTTTGGAGGTTCGGGATTTTAAGGTTTCAGATTTTTAGGGTTTTAGGGTTCAAGGGTGTTTAAAGTTTAGGCTTAAGAGATTCAGGGTTTCGAGGTTTTACAGTTTCAACATTTCAGTGGTTTTGGGGTTAACATTTAGGTTTTAGGTTTTAAGTTTTAAGAATTTTAAGATTTTAGGGATTCAGAGATTTAGAGTTTCAAGATTCGGGGCTTTGGGGTTTTAGGGTTTCATGGATTTCATGTTTGAGGGTTTTAAGGTTTCAAGGTTTCAGGGGTTTACGTTTAGGTTTTACATTTTAGAGTTTTAGTGATTTAGTGTTTCGAGGTTTAGAGAATTTAGGGATTCGAGGTTTCAGGGATTTTCGTTTAGGGTTTAGCATTTAGAGTTATAAGGTTTTAGAGTTTCTTTTTTTTTTTTACTGAGTTTCCTATTTTAGGGTTCTAGGTTTCATGGTTTAACGTTTAGGTTTTAGGTTTCAGGTTTTCATGGTTTCAGGGTTTCGAAATTTTAGGGTTTCGAGGTTTCAAGGTTTCAACATTTCAGCGTTTCAAAGTTTTAAGTTTAGAGTTTAGGGATTTCGGGGTTTCAGGGCTTCAGAGTTTGAGGTTTCAGGATTTCAAGGCTATACGTTTAGGTTTAGGGTTTTAGGGATTCAGGCTTTCAGTTACAATCAACCATTAAGTAATGAGATCATTATTAGTTTAAGTGAAT